ATTTTAATCCTTAAATTTAAGTTAATCAAGTTTAGCTAACTGTGTAGTTACCTAAACTAGGTTTAATTTGAATCATTTTTTTATTATCTAATTTATTTCTTTTTAATTTGTAAGTAAACTACAAGTTTTTCCAAATAAACTTTATTTTCTGTACTTAAACTTTGTTTAAATCAGGTTTAGTTAAACTTTAGTTAACTGAAAATATTAACATTGTATTTTATTTTTAATAAACTTTCTAAATGTTTACTTTTTGGGAGTTAAACTTCTAAAAACCTAGTTTAGTTAAACCGAGTTTAACGTGTTTTTATTACATTTTCTGCTTCATTTTTGCTTCTAATTATCAATCAATATATAATTTTTGAAATTTGTAGAACACAACTCACAATTTTGTTAAAATTTCCTTCTAAAAACCTCTAATCATAAAGCAAGCCACTATCGGGACTGTTGTGCGCTCCTTATCATGAAAAAAAGGGAACTATTTTTCAGTGTTCATAAACTGAACGTAATTCCTAAGAATCTTCCAATCAGTGTTAGTCAGGAATGTTATTTCAATCATTTCCAAGATACTTGGATCTAACTTCGACGAATGCCTGGCAGTGGCAAAGAAAGTGCTCCAGAGTTTCACTGTCCTCTCCACATGCTCTACATTCGTCTGAATCCACACGTCCAATTTTGCATAGATGTGCTCGTAATCCTGTGTGTCCACTCAGAATACGTACCATCATACTAACTTCAGACTTGCTCATTTTGAGGAGATTTTTAGTCTTGCTCTCATCAGGGTCACCCCATAGGATCTTCGTGGTTCTACCCACTGTTACATTATTCCAAGAGGCCTTATGGGATTCTCTCACCCATATTTTTAGCTTTTCATGTTTGTCAGGTTAACTGCCTCGAGCTCCCTACCTTTTAAAGCTATTACATTCGCCATTTCGTTACCGACTACTCCCGAGTGGGCTGGTACCCATATGATGTGAACCTTACCTCTGGGAGAGTATTCATTTAAAGCTTTCTTACAATCCAATACGGTCTTAGATTTAGTTCTATCGCCTGATATCGCCCTAATTGCCTTCTGGCTATCGGTAAATATATTAAGCGCTGTGGGCGCCATATTTATTCTAATCCAATTTACGCATTCCGTTACTGCTCGTACTACTGCCTGGAAGCTTGTGTCATGATTTGGTAAACGGTGGTATATTTCTGTTTCTGGGTTTCGGATTCCAACTGATATTTGCTCTAATGTTCCGGTTGACGAAGACATTCTATCTGGGATCAGCGTTTCAAAGTTTCCGACATATTTTGTGTCTGGTATACGATCAGGCACGTCCGATGATTGTGTATAACCTTCCAATGTGTCCAGTATACATTGATGACGTATCCTATAACCGCTTTTGGACAGTTCGCCTAAATTAAAGAGCCGTTCGTCTGTAAGCGCCGCCTCATATCTTAAATATGTTTCAATGGGTGGAATATTTAGCAACGTTTCCAGAGCCTTGGTTGTAGTAGTACACATGGCACCACTTATACCCAAGCAGCATGTACGCTGAACTCCCTGTAGTAGTTTTATATTGCACTTTTTGTCTAAAGCAGTCCACCAGATTATTGAAGCATAAGCTAGAATTGGTCTAATTACACTTTTATAAAGCCAATTTGTCATAGTAGTACTAAGACCCTATTTCATGTCTATAGTTCTCCTACATATCGCCCAGCACCGATGTGCCTTGTTGATCCTATCCTCTATATTTCGTGGTTTTGGATTATACATTGGAGAAGAATTCAAACTTTCACACAATTTTTGTTTTCTAGAGATTTTTTCTCATTTAAACTTGAGTGTTAGCCGTTAGATAAAACTTTAATTAACAAAACTTATAAGGATTTTACTTAGAATTTCATGAACAATCAGAATTTTCACTTAATTTCCCTTAAACTTGCTTTAAGCCAGTTTAGTTAAACCCGGTTTAACTAGATTTTTTCGCGGTTTTGGTTTATATTTTTCAAGAGAATAAAAAATTTCATGTAATTTTGGTTTTCTCTCTATTTTAAACCTTTTAAACTTCAGTTTTAGCCATTAGTTTAAACTTTAGTTATATAAAATTATATGCATTTTGCTAAGAATTGCTTGAGTTATGCGAAATTTGACTTATTTTCCCTTAAACTTAACTTAAGTCAGTTTAGTTAAACCCCGTTTAACTAGGTTTTTTCAAGGTTTAGAATTATTTATTAAAGGAGAATATTAAATTTCATATTTTTAAACTTATTGCTTAACGTTTAGGTAATTTTAGAGCTAGATTTAAGAGATAGAGATCTTAAACGAGATGGTATGGCAATTTTTAGTTTGAAAATTTACTTTTTAATAAATTTGAAACCTTTTTTTTCTCAATTTCCATTTACTGCTGAGAAAACCTATTTTGCTTATAAATCCTATCAAGATTTTTGAAATATGATTATTACTGATTATGTTCTCTTTTTTATATGTATTTGCAGGTGATCTTGGTAAAATTGTAACAAACCATTAAAACAAAAGGTAAGTTGTTTGTTTTACAACAAAATTTATAGCATGCTAGAGAAAATTTTGTTTACAAACAAAGAGTTTGGTGTTAGAGAGTGAAATAAAGTCTCTTTTGGTAAATTGTAATGGAAATACTCTCTTGATTTTTAGAATTTTGAGAGTTTATGCTCTTTTCTTCCTTTTGTTTGTTATTGTTTTTGTAATAAATCTGTAGTAGTTTAATTTAAACAAGCAACACAAAACACATGCTTTTTTTCCAATAACAGCAGCAACAACAACAACCCACCCCATAAGAGCGTAAATGGGTTGCGTGTGTTTGTGTACAATTGTATCTGTGTGTTTACATCGTGTGCTCCTGTGTGTATCTATGTAAGTTGTTAAATTTGTAATGTTTTGTAGCAGTGTTGCCAATATTTTTCCATCATTTCCCGTTAAATCATGTCAAAAAACCGCCAGATTTAGGTCTTTGCAAAAGTCGCTAATTTAAACTGGATGTTTTACCAAAAAATACAAAATTTCAATAAATTAAAAAAAATAAGAATATTAAGGGTTTTTATATAAAACTTGACTATAGACTAGACTATAGACTAGACTATAGACTAGACTATAGACTAGATTATAGACTAGACTATAGACTAGACTATAGACTAGACTATAGACTAGATTATAGACTAGACTATAGACTAGACTATAGACTAGACTATAGACTAGACTATAGACTAGACTATAGACTAGACTATAGACTAGCCTATAGACTAGACTATAGATTAGACTATAGACTAGACTATAGACTAGACTATAGACTAGACTATAGACTAGAGTATAGACTAGACTATAGACTAGACTATAGACTAGACTATAGACTAGACTATAGACTAGACTATAGACTAGACTATAGACTAGACTATAGACCAGACTATAGACTAGAGTATAGACTAGACTATAGACTAGACTATAGACTAGACTATAGACTAGACTATAGACTAGACTATAGACTAGACTATAGACTAGACTATAGACTAGACTATAGACTAGACTATAGACTAGACTATAGACTAGATTATAGACTAGACTATAGACTAGACTATAGACAAGACTATAGACTAGACTTTAGAATAGACTATAGACTAGACTAGACTATAGACTAGACTATAGATTAGACTATAGACTAGACTATAGACTAGACTATAGACTAGACTATAGACTAGACTATAGACTAGACTATAGACTAGACTATAGACTAGACTATAGACTAGACTATAGACTAGACTATAGACTAGACTATAGACTAGACTATAGACTAGACTATAGACTAGACTATAGACTAGACTATAGACTAGACTATAGACTAGACTATAGACTAGACTATAGACTAGACTATAGACTAGACTATAGACTAGACTATAGACTAGACTATAGACTAGACTATAGACTAGACTATAGACTAGACTAGACTATAGACTTTAGAATAGACTATAGACTAGACTATAGACTAGACTATAGACTAGACTATAGACTAGACTAGACTAGACTATAGACTAGACTATAGACTAGACTATAGACTAGACTATAGACTAGACTATAGACTAGACTATAGACTAGACTATAGACTAGACTATAGACTAGACTATAGACTAGACTATAGACTAGACTATAGACTAGACTATAGACTAGACTATAGACTAGACTATAGACTAGACTATAGACTGGACTATAGACTAGACTATAGACTAGACTATAGACTAGACTATTGACTAGACTATAGACTAGACTATAGACTAGACTATAGACTAGACTATAGACTAGACTATAGACTAGACTATAGACTAGACTATAGACTAGACTATAGACTAGACTATAGACTAGACTATAGACTAGACTATAGACTAGACTATAGACTAGACTATAGACTAGACTATAAACTAGACTATAAACTAGACTATAGACAAGACTATAGACAAGACTATAGACTAGACTATAGACTAGACTATAGACTAGACTATAGACTAGACTTTAGACTAGACTATAGACTAGACTATATACTATACTACACACTAGAATTAAGATTGGACTAAAGAATAGACTATAGACATTTGTAGTTATTCCATTTTATACGTGAAAAAACGTTAAAAACCGCCAAATTTCCCGCTAAAACGCATTTTTTTCCCGCCATTGCCATTTCAAAAACGTCAGATTTGACGGGAAAAACGTCAAATTGGCAACAATGGTTGTTATATTTGTAATGTTTTGTAGTTTCTTTTTAGAGATACCAACAAAAATTCATTGCTTTTATTTTTTTGTATATCAGGTTTTTTGTTGTTGTTGTTGTTTTGTCTTCTTCAGAATAATGTGTATGTTAAGGTGGTGGTGGTGCTAGCTATTTATGCTCTGGGAGTACATACAAAAAAATCTTTTCCGAGAGATAGAGAGAGCGTGAATATATGATTTTTCGATATGAAAATTATACACGGCACTATAATTTAGTTTAGTTCAGTTTTAAACGAGCGATCGTGTCGCCTGGTGGTGTTTAACGGCAATGTCTAGAAAACGTTTTTTAAAAACTATGGAATTTTAAGAAAAGAAAAAAATTAAAAAAAATACTTTTGTGTTTTATGAATTGTAACTAAATAAAAGCCACAAAAATGTGATTTAATAACAAAACAAAATTTGCAAAAAAAACAAAATTTTAGTTAAAACAAATAGTTCCTTTTTTTAATTTCTAATAATACTCGAAATTTTTTGGTGGTGGCTTTTTTTTTGAAAACAAAACCCACAAGCAAAAAAGTGTGACACGATTTTTGTCTCCTCCAACACACACACACAAATAATGGTGGAGTAAAATTATACATATAAAACTTAATGTTACCAAAATAACAACAACAGTAACATAATAAAACAAAAAAACGAAAACAAGTTTGTGTTAAAAACCTTTAAAATATTTTATTAAAATAATAAAAAACCAATTAGTTAAAAAAAATAATAATAAAAATTATAATTCAATTTGAAATAATTTTTCTTAAAGAAAAAATAGTTTCCTACAAAAAAAACCCACGAATTTTCTACTTAAACTACAACTTCTTAGATTTGTTTTTCATTTTTCAACTTAAACAAACATCTTAAGAATGTTTTATATAGTGTACGAGTGCCAAAATTTTAGCTGAAATAACAAAAATTTAAAGAAAATATTTGAAATTTCTTATAAAACATCAAAAAAGAAATTTTCAAAAAAAAATTGGATTATCTTTTTACAAAAAAGACATAAATACTGGGATTTACTCATACAATTGGATTAACTTTAAAAAAAAACTAAGAAAAGGTATGTTGGTAGAAATTAAGCAAAAAAACATTTTATAAAAGTGTGCGATATAAAAAGGGGTTTCGCTGCTTTTAAGTTTATAACTCCGATATTTTAGAACCGATATTCTTGATTTTTTATACACAAATTCTTCTTAAAGTATTTTATATAGAAATTTAAAAAAATGTATAAATAAAGACCCCAGTTGTATATAGCAAGCTTTTAAAAGTAGACATTTGTAAAAAGATCTAAATTAAGCAGGTATTATTGCTATTTCGTTGATAACTTCCACATTTTTGAAGTGATTTCTCTGTTATTTGGTACACAAATTCTGTACAGAGTCTTCTTGATAGAAAAATGTATAAATTAAGAACCCCAGTGGTTAACAGCAAGCTTTTAAATGTCGAAATTTGTAAAAAGACCTAAATTAAGCAGGTATTATTGCTATTTCGTTGATAACTTCTATATTTTTGAAGTGATTTCACTGATTTTTGGTACACAAATTCTGTACAGAGTCTTCTTAATAGAAAAATGTATAAATTAAGAACCCAAGTGGTATATAGCAAGCTTTTAAAAGTAGATATTTGTAAAAAGACCTAAATTAAGCAGGTATTACTGCTATTTCGTTGATAACTTCTACATTTTTGAAGTGATTTCTCTGATATTTGGTACACGAATTCTGCACAGAGTCTTCTTGATAGAAAAATGTATAAATTAAGAACCCAAGTGGTATATAGCAAGCTTTTAAAAGTAGATATTTGTAAAAAGACCTAAATTAAGCAGGTATTACTGCTATTTCGTTGATAACTTCTACATTTTTGAAGTGATTTCTCTAATTTTTGGTACACAAATTCTGTACAGAGTCTTCTTGATAGAAAAATGTATAAATTAAGAACGCCAGTGGTAAATAGAAAACTTTTAAATGTCGAAATTTGTAAAAAGACCTAAATTAAGCAGGTATTACTGCTATTTCGTTGATAACTTCCACATTTTTGAAGTGATTTCTCTAATTTTTGGTACCCAAATTCTGTACAGAGTCTTCTTGATAGAAAAATTTATAAATTAAGAACTCCAGTGGTAAATAACAAGCTTTCAAATGTATATATTTATAAATTAAGCAGGTATTACTGCTATTTCGTTGATAACTTCTACATTTTTGAAGTGATTTCTCTAATTTTTGGTACACAAATTCTGTACAGAGTCTTCTTGATAGAAAAATTTATAAATTAAGACCCCAGTGGTATATAGCAAGCTTTTAAATGTAGATATTTGTAAAAAGACCTAAATTAAGCAGGTATTACTGCTATTTCGTTGATAACTTCTAGATTTTTGAAGTGGTTTCTCTGATTTTTGGTACACGCATTCTGTACAGAGTCTTCTTAATAGAAAAGTGTATAAATTAAGAACGCCAGTGGTTAACAGCAAGCTTTTAAATGTCGAAATTTGTAAAAAGCCCTAAATTAAGCAGGTATTACTGCTATTTCGTTAATAACTTCTATATTTTTGAAGAGATTTCACTGATTTTTGGCATAAAAATTACGAACAGAGTCTTCTTGTTAGAAATGGGAGATTTTGAACAAAATCTTTCTCTCTACATTAAAAACAATCTTGAAGATTTAGCAACATTAAGGATTTTCTGCTAAAAGAGCAGATTTTAAGGGATATTTGTGCTTTTTCGTTTATAACTTTGATATTTATGAACCGTTTAAGCTGATTTTTGGCCGAAAGAATCTTGACACAAGATTTTATAGATTAAAGAAGCAAAAAGGTATTAATTCTTATTAAAACTCTATAAACCGTTGATTTATATTTTATAACTAATATTTAGAAACATTTTTTTTTCAAAGAAAAACTCTTAATTTTTTAATTTCTTTTGAAAAATGTCTATTGGAAACTCCATGTAGACCTTAACTCCTCTCTACCTGCATAATTTTCCTTAACCACATGTTTGTCACACAGACAAAATTTATGTCTCTCGTTAGGAGATGAAAAAAGAAAATTGTCATTTGGGTTTTTTTCTGTGTTCTAAAACAAATGTTGTTTCTATAATTTATCTTGTTTAAAGATCTTGTTACTTCTAAGATCATTATCATAATTCTAAGATCTAAGAACATATGTTGAGACTCTCTTCTATAAGTTTTTGGTCTATAAATTATAAGAAATTATAGAACAACAACAAGGTTTTAATTACATGTTTTATGCTTAAGAAAAGACAAAAAAAGGTTTACTTGTAGCTTGTGTAAATGGTCTAAAAGAGACTTAAGAAATCTCTTGAAAAAGTAATATTGTTAAAGATTTGAGTCTCAAAAACTTATAGTTATTTTTAGCTTTATTTGTTGCTCCCATAAATTATGCGTAACGTGACACCTTTTTCTTGTTTAGACATGTTGTTAAATAGTTTTTTTTTAGTTTTTGTGGCTTTAACAGGTTTTTGTTTTCTAAACAATTTTGTTTTGTTTTTGTTTGAAAAGAAATAATCATAAAATAAATTTTCTATAAAATATGTTTAAAACTAATTTTATTATAAAAATTTAAATTTATTTACATATTTGTATTTAAAATAGATCAAGTTTCTAGTCTAAAGCTTATTTACGAAAAAGATAGATTGATTTTTTGGTAATGGCGAGAGAGTTTTAATTAAAATAATTGCTTATTTATGCAAAAATTTTGTATTTTAGTTAAAAATAACATACATTTTTTTAAAAACATCCATATTTTCTTAAACGCCTACTTAAGAAAATGTTTTGTTTCCAAAATTATTGCCAGTATTAAAAATTAATTCCTAAAACCATTAAAATCAGTTTAAACTTAACTTAAATAGGTTTAAGTTAAACTGGTTTAAGTAAACTAGGTTTTTGTAAGCTTAACACTTATTTGTATTTAAAATTCTTTCAAGATGTCCTGTTCTCTTTAAAACTGTTCATATTTTGGCTTAAACTTTACTTTAGCTAGTTTAACTAAACTAAGTTTTAGTAAACTTGACAAATTTTTAAATTTTTGTTCCCCTATTTTATTGTATTACTCTTGCTCTTAACTTTAGCGAGTTTAACTAAACTAGGTTTCAGTAAACTTGACAAATTTTACAACTTTTCTACTTAAATTTTATTACTATTTTCACACTCTATTGAAAACTGTTCAAACTTTAGCTTAAACTTAACTTTAGCTAGTTTAGCTAAACCAGGTTTTAGTAAACTTAACAAATGTTCCCATCTTTTTTAGCCAAATTCTGTTACTCCTTTTTATACTCTATTCAATGCAGTTCATATTTTTGCTTAATCTTAACTTTAGCTAGGTTAACTAAACTAGGTTTTATTAAACTTTACACATTTTCCTACCTTTTTTTATCAATTCTATCTAAATTTTCTTGCTCTCTACAAAACTTTTCATATTTTTGCTTAAACTTCACTTTAGCTAGTTTAACTAAACTAAGTTTTACTAAACTTGACAAAATTTTCAACTTTTTCATCAATTCTATTTCAGTTTTCATGCTCTCTACAAAACTGTTTATATTATGGCTTGAACTTAACGTTAGCTAGTTTAACTAAACCAGGTTTAAGTAAACTTGATAAAGTTTTTAACTTTTCTTAAATAATTTAACTTCAGTTTCCTTGCTCTGTTCAAAACTGTTTATATTTTAGATTGAACTTAACTTAAACTAGGTTTTTAAACAAATTACTTCCAAAAAAATGTTGCAAGAGAATGTTTATAGAAAATTTTGTTCAGCAACATTGTTGCTAAGATTAAACACAAACTTAAAAAAGTTGAAATTGCTGTTTTACTAATCTTTTGCAACTTTCTTATAAGGAAATTCACGAGAAATGTTGCTAAGGAGAGCATTTTGTTTAGCAACTTTGTTGCAAACTCAAAATTGCTTTCTATGCAAAATGTTTTGTTTTGAAACATCTAAACTTTAATTAAATTATGTGGTTTAATAATTAATTTAAACATTGTTGTCTAGTTGTCTTAAAAATAAAACAAAAATTTAATTTGTCGGGATTTTGTTTTCTTTTCTCTTCAATTAAATTTGTCATGTTTTATAAAAAACACAACATTTCATATCAAATTAACCTAAATCTTTTGAAAAAATTTAATGTTTTTTTCACCAAAATTATAAAAAATTCATTACTTGTTTAATGTTTTTTTTTTTTAACAAACTTTTTTTCAAATATAAAGAATCTGTGGTAGTCTATCTATAAACAAAATAATTTCTTATCTTTTGACATTTGTACAGAAATTTTTTTGTTCAATAATTTCTCTATCAATTCTGTGTTTCATACCCTACCTGTCAACCTTACCTACTGTTTGTTTGAGGTGGTGGTAAATATATATATATATATGATTACTTTCATATTAAACGTGTTTGTAGTAAATTTTTGTTATCAATAGAATTTAGTTATTTTCTGATTTGGTTTTATTAGTTTTTACTCAAAGTTATTGTTTATTTAACCGAAATTTTTGGTTGACAAATAAATATGTAAAGAGAATTTTCATAAAAATCTTTTTAAAAAGTGCTTAATACATCTATAGAGTAAGTTGTTTACATTTCAAGCTTTGATTTATTCTTTGCAACAATGTTGCTAGAGCTGCCAGTGTTTGGATCTTGAAATTTTCTATAAACATTTCCTTTATTACCCATTTTTAAGAGATTAATTCGCCAATAGATTAAGAAAATGTATGTTGTTTACATTTTAAGTTCAGTTTTGCTCTTGGCAACAATGTTGCTAGAGCTGCTAAGGTTCGGAGTTTAAAATTTTCTTCGAATTCGCTTAAGCAACCTCTTGCAATTGATTAATTCATTCATAGAGCAAGTAAAAATGAGGTTGTTTACATTTTAATCTTTTATTTAATCTTGGAAACAATGTTGCTAGATCAGGAAAGGTTCGAAACTTAATATTATCTACAAAAATTCACTTTAGTATCCATTTCTTAGTGATTAAATCTCCCTTAGAGTAAGATAATGGATGTTGTTTACATTTAATGTTTGCAACAATGGATGTTGTTTACATTTAATGTTTGCAACA